CAGCAAGACCTTTCATTTCTGGCATGTCCTGCAAAAGAACCTTATCCTTACAGTATGGGCGGCAAGACTTATAAGCGAAACCTGAAATTTCACGAACCTTTCCAAATCTCATATGCCTAGGAGTCATATTCTGGGCACGTTTCTTAGTTACCAGTCCTTCTTTGTCATTCATATAGATCATACTACAAGCTTGCTCTTCTGTCACACCTTCCTCTTTCATATACTCCACCAAAAACTCTGCTATCCCTAATCCAGCCTAAACATTTATGTTCTATAGATTTTCATTAGTATGTGCGAACTTCTCATACCGCTCCAGCTCCATGAAAAACAAATTTTTGTTCGCAAAGTTTTTTCTTCGTTATGCGGGTACTTGCTAGTAATCCAGAAAGGATTATTGCAGCCGTTCCTTGGAAGAATTCTTTTTTTTTGTAAAATTGCTAGCGTTAAGGTGAATTGATTGGGGTACCTTGAATATCGTCGTTGAATGTGTTGTAATCTTCCCTATACTTATCCAGTAATCTGAAGGCGTTTTGAAATGCAAAATCCTCAAACTGTACAAGAGTATTTGGTCCAAAGCTGAAAATTATCAAATTTCTTTTTTTTCTGTGGATCTCTGCTATAAAATTTACCGTTTAACCACGGCCTTCATGAAATTATCAACAAAACGATCGTATTCCTCTCCTCTGACTCGCTTTCGTCGAATCCCAAGATATAGCGGATCTTTGAGGTTTTTCTAAAAAAGTTCCAACATTTAATTCAAATCTTTGATGTTCCATAAAAACAAACCTCATTATTAGTACCAGCGTCTAATAACACCGGTAGACACCATTTGGATCTCATTCCCCCCAATGCAGTATATAGGGCAAGTTTTCCCACTGGAATTCCCATTCCATGGGCTCCAAGGTCACCAAGGCCCAGGATCCTCTCACCATCAGTGACAACAATGGCCTTAATGCAGTCATAAGGTCTCGAAGTTTACCTTATGTCTTAAAGGGATAATCCTTACCCTTATGTCTGAAACAGGCCAACTACTGAGTATTCGGTAAATTTTAGTGATGCTGTTATCATTGATAGTGAGGTACACTCCCCTTTACAAAAACTCTCTTTCCTGAGATTTTATTTCAAGAAAGTTCAGTCGAAAACTAACTTTGGAAAGCGATAGATATCGCCATAGTTCTGGCAAGCTAAGCCTACTGTTGGTGTGTACACAATTGGCATTAGTTCCTTAATGTTGTCGTGCAAAACTCGATAGAATAGCGCTTCATTTCGACTCTGTAGTTCATCGAGGAT